CGGGGGGGGCGGGGTAGGGGCAGTTTCACTGGAGGGAGGGGACGGGGCGCGGGTGGGGGTGGGGACGGGGCGCGGGTGGAGGTGGGGACGGGCGCGATGGGGGCGGGCTGTGCCAGGCCTCGCCCAAGGCGGGCTCCTGCAGGCCCCGAGGCCAGAAGGCGGGAAAGAGATGTGGCGCGAGGCCCAGGCTGCGCACGCGGCCCGGACCGGAGCACCTGAGGTCCCCGGCGGCCGTGTCCACCGGCCTCCAGCCATGTCCCAGCAGCCCCGGTGTGCTGGTAGGCCGCAAAGTCCACAGGGCCGTCCCTGGGGGTGTCAGGCGGGCCCCACAACCTAAAACCTCAAGGAACCCCACCTTTCCCTTTCGCCTCATCTCCATGCTACCCCAAAAAAGCCAAATTTCACCCCCGTCTGAGGAGTGTGGCCTCCAGCCAGGCCCTCCCCCACCTGCCCTCGACTCACCATGATGGCGGCTGGAGTTCAGTGAAAACACCTCGAGGTGGAGTAGGCTGCGCGGCAGCCTCACCCGGGCGGCTCTGGACGCGCTGTGGGCCTCCAACGGGCGAGGAGAAGGACGGAGACGCGCAGCCCCGAAGCGAGCCGGGCTGGGGTCGCCGAGGCACTGAGGCGTGGCGGGCGGGGGCCGGGGGTGACTGTGCGTGACCTGACCGTGTAGTGGGCCTCAGCCAATGGGCGGCCACGCCGGGCCCTCGCAGGGGGGGGCCGGGGACCCACGTTGCCCTCCGGGTGCGTGAGGGGGTGCCACGGGGCATGCGCGAGGTACGGTGCCCCTGGCCGCCCTGCTAGGCCGCGTCCCCACAGACGCAGCAACTCCACGCGCTCGACCCCCTGAAATTTGCTATGTGCTGAATGGTGTCCAGAGTTTTGTTTCGAAAACTTTTATTTAGGTTATGGCCACAAAATGGCCCCTTGAATCCAAAAAGTGTAGCCACCGGTTTGAAATGAACAAAATGAGCGAGTCTCGGGTGTCGCCTGGCCGAACCCCTTGCCGCCTTCTGCCACATGTATTAGGCGGAGCCCTTGAGAGGGACTCCACGGCCACCGACCCACAGCGCCAAGACCGCTTCCTTTTTCTTTTTTTTTTTTCCAAATAAATTGAGTACCTGAATTACCAGGAAAAACAGATATAGCAGTGAACACATGAGAATATTTCTTCCCGCATGGAGTTTAAGTTGTAAGGGAAGCATTTCTCTTGTAGGCTTTACAGAAGCAAGGTAGGCCTGTGAAGAGAATTCTAGAACATTCTAACGTTAGCGAAAGCGGGCCTACCTACAGCAGAGCCAAGCTCTAGGTGGGCGATGGAGACAATCGTGCCTTGTAGAACCACTTCAACCCCTTAGAACATCATGGGTTTTCCGAGACAAGATCTCTCTGTCTAGCTTTGGAGTCCGTCCTGGAGACCAGGGTGGCCTCGAACTCACAGAGATCCTCCTGCCTTTGCCTCCCGAGTGCTGGGATGAAAGGCTTGCACCACCAATGGCCAAAACTTGTCTTTTGTATAGATGTAATGTATTTAAATGATTTTTTGACAGCAACATGATAGACTTAAATTTTTCATTATGCAGACAATAATGGTGGATAAAATAACTAGCTAGCTAGCCTTATTTAGAACATGGCTTTATAGAGGCGCCCATTTAAAACGGAGAAATTCCAAGGTACGGGAAAGGAAAACAAGCTAGACACTAGAATGGTAACAATCTGGGTCTCTCTGGCTTTCGATAGGTGGCTAGGTCGTAGTGAGAACAGTCATACAAAGTGCCTGGGCTGTCCTAATACAGAGGAAAAAAAAGCACAAACGGTCTGGAATGGCAGCTTTATGATGATGGATTGGATGGTGCTAACCTGTAGCTGCAGGAAGGCCTAGATGAGTAGCGGTGGAAGGGCCAAGCTGAAGTAGTGCAGAGCGCTGTCTGGAACGGAATACCCTGCCACACATCAGCACCCTTGAAAGGCCCCGTCCTAATGAAAGGGTGGACTGAGGGCGGAGAGCGCCGTGAAGACAATAGTAATAAAAACAAGTCGTTTGTCTCTGATTAGAATTTGAAACTATACCTGTATTTCCCGAATTTACATTTATGACATGTATGTTAGTCGAATCTCAAAATGAAGAAACTGGTCTTCCCACTTCACTCTCCCCTCTAGGCACTGTGTTTCCGGAATCCGTAGCAAAGGAGTTTTCAAAGATAAGCCTACAGGAAGTGAGCCTAGTGACGTGTTTTCCTAATCCCAGCTGTTTGGGAGGAGAGCTAAAAATTCAGGGCCTGCGGTAACGATTTACTGACACTGTTTCAAAATAGAAGGAAAGAAAGGGCTGAGGATACAGCACAGTGCAGCAGGCTTGCAAGTACGTATGAAGGATGTGTTGGGTTTAATTCACTGTAGAACATGCACACACACACACTCACACATACATACGCACACATGCATGCGTACACACACACACACACACACACACACACACACACACACACACGGAGGGAGTAGAGCCCTCACAACAGAAGATTGTAAAGCATTTACCATGAATAAGAGTGAAATGTTTGGATTGTGTGTACTTTTTGCTTTTTCTGACTACTCTTTTCCTTCACGACGTCAAGCGTTCTGTATTGCTCAAGCATTTCTTTTACTGCATTGACGTACACTGTAAATAGAGAGTGAATACACATCTTTCCTCTGAAATAGTTCAAGGGCCTCAGGGTATTTTAACTGGTAAATCCCTTCTCTCAGTTTAACTGGTCAGTTTATAGTTTCCTTCTGCTAACCTGTAAATTAGCTGTCATGTTTTTAGACCCAACCACATAAACAACATTTTGCTTATCATTTATTTGCTTGCATTTCTCAGATCTTCCTGGATTATTTTCCTTGTGCTTGTAGTAAATTCTTTTTTAAATTTTAATTAAAATATAATTAAGTCATTTTCCTTCTTCCTCTCATCCCTCTACCCCCTACCATGAACCATCCTCTTTCCAAATTCCTGTGACCTCCTGTTTTATTTTGTTTTAACCATTCTTGCATATACATACAAATAAGCAAATATGCAAACCCAATTAACTGTATCCATTCCGTGTTGCCTATCTGCATATGTTTCTAGGGCTGACCACTTGACATTGGATAATCAGTCAGGAGGCTCATGCCTGGAAAAGACTAATTCTCCCTCTCTCAGCAATTGTAAATTACTTGTAGCTCCTCATCTAGGGGTGGGGTCCCATGACATTCTCCCATCTTTATCTGGATGTCAACTGGTGCTGTAATTGTTCAGGTCTTTTTTAAAATTATTTTTTTTTCCTTCAATTTATTTTAATCATGTTTCCCCTCCCCCAACTCCTCCAAGATCCTCCTCGACTTCCTGCCTATGGTAATTTGTGTCTTTTCTGTTTATCTCTCAACAAAACCCCCATAAAATAAAAACCAAACAAGCAAAAGTCCAATAAGATTAAATAATGCCAAAACAAAAAGTACACACACACACACAACAAGCAAACAACAATAACAAAACCTATGGAGTTTCCTATGTATTGGCCAACTGCTCCCAGGCATGGGTCTACCTTCATGTGTGGCTAATATACCAAATGATTCTGCATTGCAGAAAACAAATGTTCCCTTTCCCAGCAGGTATCAGTTCAAAAATATCAGACAGGGTGGTAGTGGCACATGCATTTAATTCTAGCACTCAGGAGGCAGAAGTAGGTAGCTCCTAGTTCAAGGCCAACCTGGTCTACAAAGAGAGTTCCAGGTCAACCAGGGCTATACAGGAAAAAAAAAAAAAACCACAACAGCTAGCTTCTTGGTTAGAAGTTGGAAATTGTGTCCATTTCCCCCCTCAATGATAGGATCGCATCTCCTTGAACCCATGTAGGTCCTGTGCAGGTACTGTGCATGCCACTATGCATGCAAAAGTTTCTTTTGTTCGTATATGGATCAGTTCTGTCTTATCTGGAAGATACTATTTAGTTGGAATCATCCATCACCTCTAGCTCTTCACCTCCTCTTTTGCATAGATCCCTGAGTACTGAGGGGAGGGATTTGATGAAGATATCCCACTTATGACCGGGTGCTCCAAAGTCTCTCACTCTCTGCACACTGTCCAGTTGTGGGTCTCTGTGTTAATTTTCATCTACTTCAAGAAGAAGTTTCACTGATGTTGAGTTGAGTAAGGCACTGATATGGATTAACAATATGCTACTAGAAGTCATTGATATGTTCCTTTAGCAAAATAATTGTGATAGATTCCTCCAGGCCTATGACCTATTTAGTCTCAGGTTCTTGGCAGATATAGGTTCTATCTCATAGAGTGGGCTTTAAAAAAGTTACCCATAATATTTGTACCATGACTGCACTAGTATATCTTGCAGGCAGGTCAAAGGGTTTGTAGCTGGGTGATTACCTTTGTCTTCTGGGAGCCTTTGGTGTACTGTCTGCCACCATAAACACTAGTTAGTAGGGGTGTCTGGTGGTTTGAATAGAGTGACCCCTACATGTTCATATATCTTTTTTTAAGATTTATTTATTTATTAAGTATACAACATTCTGCCTCCATGTATGCCCATATACCAGAAGAGGGCTCCAGATCTCATTACAGATGGTTGTGAGTCACCATGTGGTTGCTGGGAATTGAACTCAGGACCTCGGGAAGAGCAGCCAATGCTCTTAACCACTGAGCCATCTCTCCAGTCCCATGTTCATATATCTGAATGCTAGGTTATTCAGGAGTGTCACTACTTGAGAAGGAGGAGGTGTGGTCTTGGAGTGGGTGTGGCCTTGTTAGAGGAAGAATGTCATTGGGGTGGCCTTTGGGGGTTTCAAAAGTCCATGTTAGGCCTAGTGACTCTCTCTTCCTGCTGCCTTTGGATCCAGAGGTAGAACTCTGAGCTACCATGCCTGCTTTCATGCCTGCATTCTCCTCACCATGATGGCAGTGCATGAGACTGCTAAAAATATAAGGAAGCCCTAACTGAATGCTCTCTTTTTTCAAGAGTTGCCATGGTCATGGTGTCTCCTCATAGCAATAGAACACTGACCAAGATAGGGTGCAGCTTCTAGTTAGGAACCAGCTCATCTTCTCTGTGTTCAATGACCGCAGTGTAATCTTCATCAGGTTGTAGAGAGCAACTAATAGCTTTGGCAATAAATAGCCTGTGATGTTGGGAGGGGGGTCTGTGGAACCCTTTTGGCTAATGACTCCATATGATGCATTCCTGGCACTAGATGGTTTACACGGTAGCATATGAGGTCTAATTGGGGCATTGTCTCACCCATATATGGTGACTTCATTTAGGTGTCTTTCCTATATGTATATGCTTTAGGAAGCTTCTGCATTAAGAGGCTTCCATGTAACTTTCAAAATCCCTGTAGTGTAGTTGTCCCTCCCCATATTACCTCCTCCTCTACCTGCTTTCCCAGCCCCCTTCCTAATTATCCTGCTATTTTAATTTCCCCCTTACCACTCCATAGCAATAGATCCTATTTCCCTTTCTCCATCTGGTCCCTTACTAGGTACATAATCCCAGTGGTTATTTGACTTGAAGCACGCATATCAAAAAATTTTCTAAGAAGCAT